CGTCCCGTCAACACTTCACTGCTTTACTGATTTAATTGTCCGCCTCGTTCATTACTCATTCCAAACAAGGCCCGTTGTAATCACCTCTGCGCTCACCTAGCCTTCTGTGAAGTGTTTATTTACTTCTGACACTGCCGTGACATTGGCCGTCCTTCTGGCTCAGAACGAGGCCACGGCTACAACGGGATCAAAACTAGGTGAGGGAGGGAAAGGCACAATGTTATTGGTCATATCTGAAAGCATGGATAAGAGGAGAGAGCAGAGTAAACGTTACACACACACACACGCACACGCGTGTCAGCCGCTGCTGTGGAATAGCAGCTTCCACTTCACGTCTTTAAAGGAATAAAGAGCCTTGAATGAACAGTAGCCGCGGTGTTTGGATTTACACTGAGTCGGTGGTTGGACGTTTCAGGTGAGGCGTTCACAGACACGTCAAGAACAAGAGGGTTTTAGCATACTTCCGAAACCAACAAATGCAAATAATGGTTACATTTTTCCATGTTAACAATACGAACAGGTGTGAACACAGCCAGTTCATCATGATTAATCGTGATTTTGACCCTTGTTTACTGGTAGCTGGCCAAAAATCAGGATGAATGAATAATGACACATCATCTGCATAAAAACTAAAGGTTGTTTTTAAACCATCTTAACTGGACTGGCTTCAGAGCAAGTTAAAAAAAAAAGTGCCATCTTAACTGGACTGGCTTCAGAGCAGGTCCAATAAAATAGTGTTTTTTTTTTATGGTACAAATGCGTAGCAAATGAAAGAAATTAAAAGTTAACTTAACTTTGACAAGATGATCCTCTTATTAAATGTCTTCTGTCTTCCCCTTTTTGTCCTTTTCTTCTTCCAGACACGTTCTATGACATCGTTACCGTCGGTGCTCCCGCTGCTCACTACCAGGGCTTTAAGTGCGGCGGCCTGCAGCGTCTCCTCAGCAGATATGAAGCGGAGAAGAAAAGGTAGGAAGCCCAAACTTCACGGTATGCAGGTGTGGTGTCTAACAGCGGTGGAAAATCTGATGTGAGACACACGCGCGGAGATGGAAACAGCCTCGTATTGACAAAAGAAATGATAGGGACAGACAAATCTGTGCCTGGCCCACGGACGGATTTTACAAGCTTCAAATTGTGCACACAGCCGAGCTGTGCTGAATTTAGAATCGAGCCACATCCAGTCTGACGCCTCTGTTTATTATTTTGAACGTAACTCTGCAACCACAGCCTTGAGAAGATGCAGCTCTGTCCAGTACTGGTCAAGAGTGTGTCGTCCAGTGGATCACAGCTAGTGACCTGTGCTGATCTTTTCTTCTGTGCTGATCTTTTCTTCTGTGTTGATCTTTTCTTCTGTGCTGATCTTTTCTTCTGTACCTGAAGTCCGTTTCCTTCAGGTCTGGCTCAGATGTTTTTTCTTCTGCTTCTAAAAAATGAGGAAAAGTATATGTCACAGGAGTTCAGTCCGTGGTCACTTGAGTGATGCCGAACGAAATGAAGGTTGATTTTTTTTTTTTTCCCAGAGCTCCCTATAGAGTGCAAAGTCATTACAGAGCACGCCAGATCCAATTAGTTACAGAGTTTCAGCTCAAACGTGGGCAGGATGGAGTGAGGTGAGGTGAGAGAGAAAAGTGGATAAATGATGGACGTATGCGCTATTAATAGAGCACAAAGAAGGAGTCCTCAGTCTGAAGAGTAGAAGTGAAGGTGGTCAGCTTCCTCTGCCCGTGTTGGAACATACTCTGTCGATTTAAAATGGTATCGTCGAAAAGTAAAGATTAGACTCGAGAACGAGTCCACGAGGGACAGAGTGCTTTTAACTTCATATTTGACTCCATTAATCACTCACTGTAGTTAAAAAAAAAAAAAAAATTCTAATTTTACGCCTCAGTAGCCGTGTCTTTGCTGAGCCTTATCCATGTTTGACCTGAAATACAGTCTCTTGACAGCCATCGTCACAAAACTGGGAAGATCAGGCCGCGGGGATTAAAAGTGTGCGTTTGCTTTAAATCCAACAGTTTGCCGTGATTTGATTTCATCGTACAGACACACGACATACGTGTGTGTGTGTGCAAATATTTAACCACGGAGAAACGGTGGAAACGAGCGAGGTTCTGACGCACAGCTGCGTATTCCACGATTCAAGAGGAGATTCCTCGTGATTTGATTTCATCGTACAGACACACGACATACGTGTGTGTGTGTGCAAATATTTAACCACGGAGAAACGGTGGAAACGAGCGAGGTTCTGACGCACAGCTGCGTATTCCACGATTCAAGAGGAGATTCCTGTGCGTTCAGACACATTCCTACCTCCCACCGTCTGCCCTACAGGAGCCGCCCACTGTAATCACATTTGTTTAAAAAAAAAGGGAACAATGCACATCATACCACACCCGGCTGTTCAATGGGACATTAATTCATCAAAGAGAAGATGGAAAGAAGTTGAAGGGAAGAAAGGGGAGAGAAAAAAACGAAGCTCAGAGGTGTTACCAGGAGGGCAATAAAAGAGCTATCCGTCTTTGTTCCCCAGACACTGGGAGAAAGAGGAAGGAGGGTTCCTTCCAGATCCATTAGAAACCTGCATTTGCCAAACTTGGCAAAGACCACAGTCTGCGATGTAGTTTGTCTCTCCAGAGCGGCCGGCAAAGAGGTTAATCAATATCTGCACTTAGCATTCCTCCAGATACCCTGCACATGTACACACCGGGCCGCAGCGTTTATCTTCCATTAATGCACGGCGTTCCACGTAAATGACTTTTTTTTAAAAAAGTCACTGGATTTGTATCCTTTTTTAATTGAACCCTATAGACACCACTGTGTATTTGCTGAGGTGGCCTTAATCTTTCATTAACAGCGCCCCCTGTTGAATTATTCAGCTGATCTGCATATTAACGACGCAATGCATGTTGGGCTGGAATTTTTTTTTTTTTTGGAACTGAAGCGTTGTGTGTGGTCGTCGATGACCGCGTTGAGCAGCGGTAGAGTCCGTCCAGTGGATCCTCCATCTGAATGACCCAGTGAGTGGGTCAAAGTACGCTGCTCACATTTAATAGCGCCCCCTGGGGGTTCTGTGTGACTAACAGCCTGTGGTCCAACACCGGCTCCCACTCGGTTCTTGGGCGTAGTGTGAGCAGAGAGAGGCCAGACGTCGGCACTGACTGGGAGTCCGTGTTAACGACAGCAGCTTGTTATTCTCCACCTGCTTCTGGTTCATTGGATGATGCACAGGGATGCTGCCAGGAGTCCTCCCCCTTTTTTTTTTTTTTTTTTTTTTTTTTTATTTCCTGCCGGTTTGCGAATCTCTGAGGCAACACTGGCTGCTGCTTGACTGAGGAGTGACTTGTGGTCGGGCTTTAGATCAGCACGTCTCTGAAGCAAACTTTATATTTGTCGCATGGTCACGCTTCAGTGGCCTGGTGTTAAAAAAAAAAAAAAAAGTTGGTGAGAGTGTTCTTTTTGAATCAGCACTGCTGCAGGCTCCTCTGCTGACGCCGCCGTGGTTCACTCCTGCTGGCAGTCAGCAGCAGCACCAGGCTGTTCGTTAACATTCACTCCTGTATTAATTACCCAAGCGCTGGGGTAGGAGTTGCCTTAATAATACCACCCAGAGATAATGTCTCCAGCAGTAGTGTCCTCAGCCGTTGATATTTCTACAGCAGGGAAAAAGGAAATCCAGGACAAACAGGAAGCTATAGTGATCTGAAAATAAAGGAAGGATGGAGGAAAAAACCAGCAGCTTTATTTGTCATGGTGTATTAGGGGTGTAATGGTACAGAGAAGCCACGGTTGGGTTCGTACCTCGGCACTGACGTCACAGTTTTCAGTACAGAATGAAAAATGTGGAAAAACGTCTTTTTTTTTTTTTTTCTGTTCTTTATTACCAAACTTCCGTACAAGTTTACACACAAGCTGTTTACAAAACGCTTCAACCCAAAATGTTATGGTAAATATTTAGTTTGTCAAATAAATTAAAAATAATAACAAAACAAAAAAAATGTTGAAAGATATATATGTGAGAAGCAAATAAAGTCCTAAGTGCAGCTTCCCTCCCAGCCCTCACAGTTCACAGTTCTGTTCTCTCTGCCTCCCTCTGCTCCTCCGTCTGATGCATGCTCCTCATATATGGATTATGAACTGTATTACCGGCGGGAGAGTCAATTTAGACTTAACAACTGCAACTTGTTTTCTTCTCCCGATTCAACATCCCTCTCCACTGCTACTGTAGTTTACTGAAACAGCAGACGAGGGAGAGAGAGAGAGAGATC